AACCATTTTATTATTGCCTCTAGGGCATATTTCCAACAGTATCCCACTTGCACTAGAGTCAATAATCTAGTTACATTGTGATGAATCGAACACACATAGAGTTCTGGTGTTGATCATGTTTTGCTCGCGGAAGAGCTTTAGTCAACGGGTCTACGACATTCAGATCCGTATGCACTTTGCAAATATTTATGTCTCCATCTTGAACATTTTCACGAATGGAGTTGAAGCGACGCTTGATGTGCCTGGTCTTCTTGTGAAACCTGGGCTCGTTGTCAAGGGCAATGGCTCCAGTGTTGTCACGGAAGAGAGTCATCGGCCCCGATGCATTGGGAATAACTCCTAGGTTGGTAATGAACTCCTTCATCCAGATTGCTTCATGTGCTGCCTTCGAGGCTGCGATGTACTCCGCTTCACATGTAGATCCCGCCACGACGCTTTGCTTGCAACTGCACTAGCTTACTGCCCCACCATTCAAAATATACACGTATCCGGTTTGTGACTTAGAGTCATCCAGATCTGTGTCGAAGCTAGCGTCGACGTAACCCTTTACGACGAGCTCTTCGTCATCTCCATAAATGAGAAACATATCCTTAGTCCTTTTCAGGTACTTTAGGATATTCTTGACCGTTGTCCAGTGTTCCATGCCAGGATTACTTTGGTACCTTCCTACCAAACTTATGGCAAGGTTTACATCAGGTCTGGTACACAGCATGGCATACATAATAGACCCTATAGTCGAGGCATAGGGGATGACACTCATCTTTTTCTCTATCTTCTGCCGTGGTCGGGCATTGAGCCGAGCTCAATTTCACACCTTGCAACACAGGAAAGAACTCCTTCTTGGACTGATCCATATTGAACTCCTTCAATATCTTATCAAGGCATGTGATTTGTGAAAGACCTATGAGGCGTCTCGATCTATCTCTATAGATCTTGATGCCTAATATGTAAGCAGCTTCTCCAAGGTCCTTCATTGAAAAACACTTATTCAAGTAGGCCTAATGCTGTCCAAAAGTTCTATATCATTTCCCATCAAAAGTATGCCATCTACATATAATATGAGAAATGCTACAGAGCTACCACTCACTTTCTTGTAAACGCAGGCTTCTCCATAAGTCTGCATAAACCCAAACGCTTTGATCATTTCATCAAAGCGAATGTTCCAACTCCGAGATGCTTGCACCAGCCCATAGATGGAGCGCTGGAGCTTGCATACCTTGTTAGCATTCTTAGGATCGACAAAACCTTCCGGATGCATCATATACAATTCTTCTTTAAGATAGCCGTTAAGGAATGCCGTTTTGACGTCCATTTGCCATTTAAACATAAAAGAAGCCTAGACGACCCTCCTCCTTGGTGCTCCCCCGAATCAGCATGTTCCTGGCCGTTCAATCGCGTTGAATCTGGTCAACCGAGCAGCCAGGTCCGTCGGATTCTTGCCGCTGATTTCACCTCGTGATTGATTTTTGAGGTCCATAACTGGTGGGCTCGGGGTCCCTTTCAATTGGCTAGGTGAAACTTTACTGGGTGAAACTACTCTTTCGCCACTCGCCTCGTGCGCCTCGCTCATTTGCTGGCACGCTTCGGCCCCCACAGCGAAACCTAGCTCTCTTTCCCCTCGACCCCCACAGCGCAGTGCATCACCACTCCTTCCTCCCTCATCAGCCGCCGCCGGGTCTTCTTGCTGGGGTGGAAGAGTAGGGGATCCGGCCGAATCCGAGGCGTGCGGGCCTGGTGGCGGGCATCTTTGGCAGGGGCGGCGGCGGGCCTGGTGGCGGGCATCTTTGGCAGCGGCGGCGGCGGGCATCTCCGGCAAAAGGCGATGGCGGGGATGCTCGATTCGCCATGGACCGGTCCCTACAGGAGAGAGAAAGAAAGAGAGGAGGGAGAAAGCGAGAGGAAAGAGGAGAGGGAGGTGCGACGGCGGGCGGGAGAGGGTCTCCGGCCGGTGCGAGACATTCACGTCTCTCCTCCTCTCCTGCTCTCGACCACCACCGTGGCCCTCCTTCTCCCCTTCAATTCCCTGTCTCCTCTTCTCTAGAGTTACCTGAGTGGTCAACACCGAGAAAGATGGGGAAGACAGAGCCAGCGAGGAAGACGGCTTGACTCTGCCACCGATGCTGACCGGCCAATTCCGTCGGGCGTTGTCATGGGAGGAGGCGAACCATCGAGGAGCAGCACGGGAGGAGATAAGATAAGCCGCCGGAATCCCTGTTCACTTCTGGTTGCATCTTGCCCGTGAGCTCCTTCTTCTTACAGCCAGCTTGGCCCTTTTCTTGCCATGTTTTGGGTGATGCAGGGTATCAAGCAGGCGATGGCGAGGATCAGATGCGGTAGCAGCTGAAGGAGTCATGGAGAGGGGGCGAGAGTGAGCAGCGGCTGCCGGCCAAGAAGGAAGAGGCTGGGGCGAGGACCGGAGGAGGAGGTGCTCATGGTGGAGCATAGGAGGACGGAGGCGGAGTGCTGCTGCAACGGCTGTGGGACTGGGCGAAAGGTGTAGAGGGCCACAATGAGGCAGACGACAGTGGATGGCAACAATAGGTGTTGGCGGATGCTCCGAGACCATGAAGAGCCTATTCAATGGTGTATGCCCTCCCTGTTCGTTTTAGTGGGGGTTCTAGCTCTGGATTGGTGTGATGCAATTCTGAGTTGTTTTGCGTGCGTGTATTGTGTGATGCAGATGAGAAGGATGACATGGAGATGGAGGATTCCGACATGGCACCTCCGTAATCGCGCAGTTGGAGAGCATGCATGAGACCACTACTTCTTGCCTTCCAGTAATTTTAATATTATAGGAATGTAAGCGTGTACTAAGTAGAAAATATGGTTGAATTCAGTGCCCCTGCATTTACACGACTAGGTGTTATTCTTTTATTGTTTCCTTTGATGCGCTAAGTACAAATTGGAGCTTGTTGGGTACAAAATGTTTCAGGGACTATTTAGGATCAGAATTATTGTCATGTTGTCCAGATATTGCTCTAAGAGGTTCCTAGAATTAGTTTAGGATCAGAGTTATTGTCATGTTGTCTATATATTACTCTGAAGAACCCAAACGAGCTTTTCAGGTTGTTTGGTTAATTTTTGCCCCCCAAAGGTCAGCTTTGGCCAGTTTCTTGCTAGAATATTATCATAAGGCTTGATTAATTTTGAACTTACCTTTGTCATTTCACTCTTATGTTATTTTAATAGTTATTTGACATGCTGTAAACTAATTCTATTATTTTTCTAGGGAGAAGTAGAAGTTGAGGGGAAGCTACTGCATGCTGGAAAATCAGTTGGTGTTGTCTATGTTGGTTTCAGGAAGAAAAGTACTATCAAATTGATGGCTCAGGCACGTCATACAAAGTACCTTGCTGTATCTAGCAGATTGCGAGGATTCCCTTCTGTTGTAAGATAAAAACCTGGTTATATGTTGCATCCCAAAATCAAGATGCTGATTCGAGAAGAGGTAAGAGCTGTCGGCATGGCATGGTGTGCGACCTTATCCCGGAGCATGCACTTTATTAGTATAAAGTAGTGGGTATCAATGTTTTCTCATACATATGATTCTGGAGGAGCAGGAAATGGTAGACTTAATTTCAGTTAGATAAATAGGTGTACCGCCACTATTTAGGTAATCCCTTGTATTTTTTTGCCAGGTTCATGCTATATACATCGTGTATATACGCATAAAGTACACCCACATAAACTATAGTTCGTAGTATCAGCGGCAAACAAAGGCGCAACTAAGTAGTACCATGTCCCTATTATAAATGGGTAGAAAAATAAGAGCTTATCAAAAGAACAGTATCTCTGTTACATGATAAGCATTCCACTATCATGCAAATAGTATGATCCAAATTAACCAGTTTCAGAAAATCATCTGGCTAATTGAAAAAGAAAGAAGAGATCCAAGCCATCTATTTGGTAGTTGCGCTTATTAAATTTTTATAGTTGCGGTTACTAAATCATCTGGCTAACTGAAAAAGAAAAAATGGACTTGGAGTCTTTCTAAAATTTGTTTATAGTTGCGGTTATTAAATTTTTAATGCAATCTTATAATGTTATGTACTCTTAATTTTCCAGAATGCTTTCAAAGATGTGAGAGTGCAACTTCATATAATTTGAAGTTAATTGTACATGTACTTAAATGGAAGCATCTATTGGCCCCTCGAACACTTGACATAGGCACATTCAAAATAGATTATCTCTTATGACTCATGATCAGTCACCTCTTGGAAAGCTGAGGTGAGTTCAGAACATTCCATAACCAATGATTTTGTAGGTTGGTGGATTACACCACACATGGCTATTAGATTATAAATTACTCAAGTAGTAGTTCAACGAGGTCACTAGAAATATGTTCTGATCAGGTAGAGATAGGAACCAACATTATGCTTATTCCTTTGCCTGCCATTTTAGTTCAATAGATGAAATGTCACGCATTGTTCCATGCCTATCTAGACCACTAATGTAGCTAATTTTGTGTTCTCATAATGATTCTCAAATTTTGTATCTTTTCCATTTCAGGCACCATTTCTAAATTGTTTAGCATCCACGAATTTGGCGATCGTGATCTTTCTTGCCTAGGTGACCTGCTCCCAGTCATTCTTCCCTCCCCTATGATCTCTCTCTATGAAGTTTCAAATTTGTTTTGGTCAAATTTGATATGAATCTTTGGTAAAACAATCAACAGAAATCTGACAATATTGCTGACAAGAACGAACAAATGTGAGTAATGGCTTCTGTCCCGGAGATTGGTTCATGTTAGTTATTCTATATTTGAAATAGTATACATGTAGTTTGCAACTATCAGTGGTGATAATGATGGGTAGTAATAGTACATCTATTTAAATTTATATTCTAAACATTTCTAGCTGAAATCAAGTCCTTACTTTGTAAGGTAAAATCACTCTGGTTAAGCACCAACTATGGTTAAAGTTTTGTCTCTTTTGTGTGCTATGCATGATTGATCTGATTTTGCTGGTCGGGTAAGAAATTCAAGTAATACGACTATTGCAATGCATCTTACTACATGTTTGTATTTATTTACATTGATATTTTCTTACTGCTTGCCTGTCCTTTCTCCTCTCCCTGCGCCCTACTTGTGTGTTCTTGCTCTTGCTTGTTGCATGCGCAGGTTAATTTCTTCTTGTGCTGTCCTGTGTCCTGTGTCCGCCCTCACATTGTTCGCGTTAGTCTGCACTCCGTTCATTTGCATGGAACATGTTTGATAAAATGTCTGTGCGATGACCCGTCCATTTTTTCCTCAGTTCATTTTCCTGCTGCTCGATTTTGGTGTTCCTCTGGATAGCCTGCTTTCCTGGCTTGTTTCCGCTTCTTAGCTCTGGTAATGCACTGTTACTTTGCTTCTTTGTTTGCTTCTCAGATGAGCAGACCAATGTGCCGGTAAGAAAGAAAATAAGCAGTTTGATGTAGTTAAAAAGGACGGTACTGAATAGCCATGTTTCTGTACAAATAGGCAGGTTGATGTAGTAAAAAAGAATGGTACTAAAGAGCCATGTTTCTGTGCAAGCTGGATTAGAAATGCGGCTGCTCTGCTGTCCTATAACTAAAGATCTTTTGCATGGACTTTCCGTTGGACCACAGCAGGGCCTGTTAATTGCATCCTTTTATATGATTCATGTTTTCTGCACATTGTAATGGATTGATGAAAGGATCCGATCTAGTGTGCATTGTTATTCTTCTGTTCTAACACTTCTGCCTAAATTTGTTTGGCAGGTTGGACGATTTGCTGTGTTCCTGCATTTCTTTGCTGCTGCTCAAGGTTTGCTCTTCTTTTCCCCAGCATGCCATTGTTTCTAGCTACAAATATGTTTATCTTTCTATGTGGGCTGTTGTGTTAGTTCATTTACTGATCATCTTATCTTTGTCATGTTCCTGTTATTTGGGTGGTCTACCTTTGGCTATGAATGTACGTATATTATTGTCATGTTCCACTTATCCCTGCATCCCTGAACAATGCTGGCAAACTAATGTCCCTTTGCCTATGTAATGGTGTTATAGACTACCACTTGTTTTGTCAGGCTTACTAACTGATTTGTTTTTACATTATCATGAATATGCTTTAGGCATGTCTCTTCTCTGTTTCGGTGACCCTTTGCCAGTCTCTTCATTTTCTGATTATACTCATGTTTTCCTGTATGTAGATGTGATTGTAAATGGCATTAAGAATGAATAGATCCGACTCGAGGATGGCATGGTTGATGTATGCAACCATGGGAGTGTAAGCTTAGTCTGGTCGCCATCACCAGAGTGATGTGAAACAAGGTTTTCAGGGAACTATTTTGAAAGACATGTGTTTACAGAACACATGTTTCATCGTCTTCTCTTTTTCATGAGTTATTGAACAGATCTTATGAAGCTTGATTGATAGTGTTTCAACTCAGATGAAGTGGTCTGGACGATCAGGTTTTGCAGATCCTGGAGATCGTTATACCTTTTGTACAATGCACTGTTCTGGATTCAAATTGACTGTGAGTGTTGCATGCCTTTGTATTGTGTTGCTGAACCTCACTAAGTTTCTCAATGTCCAAGTCTTTTGTTCTTAGAAAAACTATTTTGTTGCATCCACATTAACCATATGTATTTACATTTTCACTTTTGAATTGTAAAATAAAGCCCTTATTGGTAAACACGCACGTGATTAGCAGTGTTTCAAATTTTCTAATTTACTATGCTTTTCATCTCAGGTCTTCCAAGACCTAAATCATCAGAAACCCATCCTTAACTGCTAAAAAATACATCCTTAACTGGTCTATACATCTTACATAAGTATGGTTTTTTTAACCTCAGATTTCTCAGTGTGATAATCATATTTTTATCTAAAAAAATGCTTCCTTAACTGCTCTATACATAGTATACAAATATGATTTTTTTAAACTGATATTTCTCAGCTTTATAAACACATTTTTGATATCACATGATTTAACACATGGGCTTTTTACTACCAATATCGAATATGTCCTTGCTAAATGTAACTATTTTCATCGACAACATGACTTTAGCGGGTCTCTGCGCCATTTGGCGCAACGGGTCAACTAGTATAGGGAACAAAGCAGCATATTACATACACTGGCCGTCAAAATTGGCCACCAGTGCAAATAAACGCGGCAGCAAAACAAGAGCATAACTGAAACAACTTTAGAAGAGCTCAAGAAACGTTATCCTGGGTATTCATCATGCTGGCAATAAGCTTAGCAAGCTGATTAGCTTTGTCCTGTTTGGCGCTAAAATCCTCAAACGCTTGTTGTTGCACCAGAAAGTATGCATCTGAATGCTCCAGGGACTTCCACAGTCCTTCCGCTTCTTGTCGCAGCACAACTGATCGATGTCTTTGAGCTTGTAGTTGAGACTCAAGAAACCAAACTGATTTGGACAGTGAGTTTGAATAGCTTGTGCATGCGGTAGTGGTCAGTAACTCGAACACTAAACCAAGACAGGACTTTGGGGTTGTCTCGCTGTCTTCAAGATAGTCTTCCTTAGTTGTTTTATCAGTTTTGTTGGAGACCAACAAGGATGTGTCACTATCCTAAACCTTATCTGCATTACTTCCTTTACCATTGCTTAATAAGGCACTCTTCCCTAATATTCTGTCAGCATTCTAAAAGAAGAAACAAGCAGACACATAACAAGTTTAGCATGTACTAGTATATGAAACTCATTTCGGTGAACCAGTTCATTAGTAAGGTGGACAGGATTAAACTACCAAGTCTTCTATTGCCAAGTACTAGTACATAATAAAAGCATCAAACAAACATATATCTATGTCCTATGGTCACTGCATTGTCTTGCCAAATTAAAATAGAGACACGGATCAAATCATATCAGTTCAAGACAAAGCAGCAGTGAAAGAATACAAAGCGTGAGAAACTACAGGGCACAACAAGATTTCAGATGGGTACCACGGGTCTACATGTACAACAACATGATTGGCTCTGTTGTGATGCTAGTATCTCATAATCATAGTATGCAGCAATTGCTAACATGATTCGGACGGACTTCAGCTTCGCCACTGGAGAGAAAGTCTGATCGTAGTCAACCCCTTGAACTTGTCAATAACCCTTAGCGACAAGTCGACCCTTATAGATGGTAACATTACCATCCGCGTCCGTCTTCTTCTTAAAGATCCATTTATTTTCTATCGCTCGTCGATCCTCGGGCAAGTCTGTCAAAGTCCATACTTTGTTTTCATACATGGATCCTATCTTGGATTGCATGGCTTCAAGCCATTTGTTGGAATCTGGGCCCGCCATCGCTTCTTCATAGTTCGAAGGTTCACCGTTGTCTAACAACATGATTTCCAGGACAGGGTTGCCATACCATTCTGGTGTGGAACATGTCCTTGTGGACCTTCGAAGTTCAGTAGCAACTTGATCCAAAGTACCTTGATCAGCTTCCTCTCTAGTCGGTGCAGGCACCATAGGAACATCTTTCTGAGCTGTGCTACTTTCCGGTTCAAGAGGTAGTACTTCATCGGGTTCTACTTTCCTCCCACTTATTTCTTTTGAGAGAAACTCTTTCTCCAGAAAGGACCCGTTCTTGGCAACGAAGATCTTGCCTTCGGATCTAAGGTAGAAGGTATACCCAATGGTTTTCTTAGGGTATCCTATGAAGACGCATTTTTCCGACTTGGGTTCGAGCTTTTCAGGTTGAAGTTTCTTGACATAAGCATCGCATCCCCAAAATTTTAGAAATGACAGCTTAGGTTTCTTCCCAAACCATAATTCATACGTTGTCGTCTCAACGGATTTAGACGGTGCCCTATTTAAAGTGAATGTAGCTGTCTCTAGAGCGTACCCCCAAAATGATAGCGGTAAATCGGTGAGTGACATCATAGATTGCACCATATCCAATAGAGTGCGATTACGACGTTCAAACACACTGTTACCCTGAGGTGTTCCAGGCGGCGTGAGTTGTGAAATGATTCCACATTTCCTTAAGTGCGTACCAAATTCGTGACTTAAATATTCTCCCCCAGATCTGATCGTAAGAACTTTATTTTTCGGTCACGTTGATTCTCTACCTCATTCTAAAATTCCTTGAACTTTTCAAAGGTCTCAGACTTGTGTTTCATCAAGTAGACATACCCATATCTAATTAAGTCATAAGTGAGAGTGAGAACATAACGATAGCCTCCGCGAGCCTCAACGCTTATTGGACCGCACACATCAGTATGTATGATTTCCAATAAGTTGGTTGCTCGCTCCATTGTTCCGGAGAACGGAGTCTTGGTCATTTTGCCCATGAGTCATGGTTCGCATGTGTCAAATGATTCGTAATCAAGAGACTCCAAAAGTCCATCAGCATGGAGCTTCTTCATGCGTTTGACACCAATGTGACCAAGGCGGCAGTGCCACAAGTATGTGGGACTATCGTTATCAACCTTGCATCTTTTGGTATTCACACTATGAATGTGTGTAACATCACGTTCGAGATTCATTAAGAATAAACCGTTGACTAGTGGGGCATGACCATAAAACATATCTCTCATATAAATAGAACAACCATTATTTTCGGATTTAAATGAGTAGCCATCTCATATTAAATGAGATCCAGGTACAATGTTCATGCTCAAAGATGGCACTAAATAACAATTATTGAGGTTTAAAACTGTCGGTGTACTAGAGTAGGGGTACCCTAGTATCCCGAACTTGTGCACGGGCAGTCGCAGCGCCCCGCGGCAAGGCTTGCTGGGTGACCGCCAAGGTCCTCCGTGGTCCCTTTGGAGCCATTCAAGAACAAAGTATTTAAGCCAAGGAGACAAAGCCCCGGCAAGAGGAGCTTGCCGGGAAGGCCAACCAAGGCATCGCAAGGAACTTGCCGCGACGCGCCACGCGTCCCGGCTAGGCCCGGTGAGCGACAAGCTTCCGGGCGCGGCAAGACAACGACCGCGGCAAGGCGCTTGCCGCGGCAAGCTACCACTCTGTACCCGCGCTCCAGCACATCCACCAACGTGTCGCCCTGGGGCCTTTCCAGGCGCGCGTGGCAAGAGTCTGTGCAGCCAGCGGTGCGAGGTGGCAAGCGGCGCTGACAAGATTGTCATCGTGGCGAACGGTGCCGTCCCTGACGGTCCTTTTCTGCACTATTTGGGCGACGCAGACGGGCATTTAATGCCTTTGTCCCCTGCCATCAGGGTTAGGTAGGATACACTGTACAGGTAGTTGTACCAACCGCAACTCCTTTTCCATTTTTGCCCTTGTCTGCGTTGCCA